GAAGCAAACTCCACTCCCATCATATATTCTAACTTCTAAGAGAGATCTGCACCTCCTTATGATGATTTAAAAGGGTTTTCCACTCCAGCCAAGCAAACCGTTTGTGATCTAATCCCCTCTTACTTTTCACTCCTACTTCTCCAAATGCATAGCCAAATCTTGAGAGAATTAAAGTTTTGAGGAGATTATCTTTTGAAGCACAAGAGCAAGGGATTCATTACCAAACAACCTCTATCTTTTTTACTTTCGGAGGGTGTGTGTCTCCTAGATTGGCTGGGTGTTGGCTAGAGAACATGCTAGTTCTAGGCAATAGACTGAAACATCTCATTGAACACAATATTTCTTGTCTCTGAAAGTTCTAATTATCAACTAGAGGGGGGGTGAATAGGCGATTTTTATGAAAGTCTTCAAGGACTCAATGTCTTCGAAGACAGACAACCAAAAAGAACCTATGTGATATGCAGCGGAAGATAAACTACACTAGACATGCCAGTCAGGTAAGCAATACAATGAAAGCACAAAGACAAATAACAGCTAGGTAGAACAGATCGGAATAGGAAGACAGTATGAAGCCAATTATGCAAATAGAGAGATTGTCTTCACACAGTGAAGCCAAACAGGGCAACCAAGCAATGACTTCACGAAGCTAAATGGTAAGTAAAGGAAAGTGATAGAACCAGTAGCTTGACGAAGACAAGGATTATGTACAGTTCCAGTTGCTTTGAACTCAGAAGACCACGTCTTCACCTTATTCTCCTTGAGCTAAGGACACTTAGTCCTTGCCCAATCACTCTGGTAACTCTTCAAGGTACACTTCCAAACCTTCACAGACTCTGTTCACCGACAATCCACAATGACTCTTGGATCCTCAGAACGTGACGCCTAACCGGCTGGAGGATACACAATCCTCAAGTGTAATAAGTCTTCAAATCACACAGACAGAAAGACTTTAGTGATGCCTAACACTCTTTGGCTCTGGGTGTTTTGGGCTTTGTCTTCGCAAGGATCTCTCTTTCAAAGGCTTCGGAGGTGGGTTGCTCTCAAATGACAAAGTCGTTCACTAACTCTGAGCAGCCACCAATTTATGGTGTAGGGGCTAGGCTATTTATAGCCAGGAGGCAACCTGACATGATATGTCCGAAATGACCCTTGGTCACTAAGGAACCGACATGGGTCCAACAGTCGGATTTCAAACACATGCGGCAGCTTGGCTTGGGCTACAAGCAAAGCTGACTCATCCAACTCTGGATAAGATTTGCTCTCATTATCTTCACTTGAAGACATAGGGTTTGGTTGAGCATCACGTCAGTCTTCTGACTTTGTTCACTTTGACCCCACTTAACAATACAGTGGTTCCTATGACTCAAGTAAGAAGAAAATGAAACTACGAAAGAAACTATGTCTTTGCACTTCATTGTCTTCAAGTGAATGTCTTGACACGTCATTATCTTCGACGTGAATGTCTTCACGAACCACCATTGTCTTTAATGTCTTCACACATTTTTAGGGGTCATCTTTGGTAGGTAAACCGAATCTATAAGGGACTTCTACCTGTGTTGTCCTGTAATTCTCACAAACACAATAGTCTCTCAACCAAGTTTGTCGTCAATACTCCAAAACCAACTAGGGGTGGCACTAGATGCACTTACAATCTCCCCCTTTTTGGTGATTGATGACAAACTGGTGGAAGTTTTCAACGAGGATAAAAATATGTGTAAGTTAAAGAATGCAGTTATTGTCTTCATGAAGTTGAGAGGGCTCCCCCTGAAGATGTGCATATAAGTAGTTTTGCCTTTGAATGCAAATACACATGGCAGGTTCTGCTTTGTTGAGATCTCCTTCAATTCATGAAGACAATTCATCATGCAAGCAAGAATGTAATGAAGATAATGACATGCACAATCAAAAATGGGCGTCTGCAGAATGACTTCATGCGAAATTTATCATCGCAATAAACGGTAGCAGCAAAAGTGGCAGATGACAATCAAGTTTTAAGTGTTACAACTTAAACACCAATAGTTCAAGAACGGGAGTTGCAAAACTTAACAAAAATAAGCACCTGACCCAGATAGACCTGCTTGAAGACTATAAACTCATATGCTTTTTCCACCTTTTGTCAGTAATGACCAAAAAGGAGTGAAGACATACAGTGTCGAAGCGTTCCCATGCGGTGTTCGTGAAGATGTTGGGGCAGCAGGGTCGACGGTGGAGTTTGGCGGTGCAGAGGGGCCTGATGCAGAATGGTAATGCAGTGAAGCCATGGCTGGTGAAGTGGTGTCGTCTTCCTCATCAATGACTCTGGAAACAACAGTCGGAGCCTAAGATGAGTACTCAGAATCTTCAATTGAAGGTGTCGGACGCCAACTTGCTGACTGTGGAGGCCTGGAGTCAAACTTGAACTTTTCAGTGAAGCCATCTGCTTGAAGATCATCTTCAGAGCATGGTAGAGTAAGGCACTTCCAGGCACGCTGACAGGCTTCATAAGCAATGAATGAGTTTTTGGTGGCGAGGTTGCGTATGCGATTGACATCAACAAGGCGACTTTGCATCTGGCGTTTCATCTAGTCATGATGCCTATCCTACTTCTGATGAAGTGAAACGAGAAGCTTTCGGTCATTCAGCACACGAGCACGCTTCTGAGGCATTTGGGCAACTTTGTTGGCTATGGCATCAGTGTTGGCACGATGCGGCAGTCGAAGCTGACCAGCAAGATGTTGGGGAACGTAGTAATTTAAAAAAATTCTTACGCACACACAAGATCATGGTGATGCATAGCAACGAGAGGGGAGAGTGTTGTCCACGTACCCTCGTAGACCGAAAGCGGAAGCGTTAAAACAACGCGGTTGATGTAGTCGTACATCTTCACGGCCCGACCGATCAAGCATCGAAACTACGACACCTTCGAGTTCTAGCACACGTTCAGCTCGATGACGATCCCCGGACTCCGATCCAGCAGGGTGTCGGGGAACAGTTTCGTCAGCACGACGGCGTGGTGATGATCTTGATGTTCTACCATCACAGGGCTTCACCTAAGCACTGCTACAATATTATCGAGGACTATGGTGGAGGGGGGCACCGCACACGGCTAAGAGATCTTGGAGATCAATTGTTGTTGTGCCTAGAGGTGCCCCCTGCCCCCGTATATAAAGGAGCAAGGGGAGGGGCGGCCGGCCAAGGGAGGGCGCGCCAGGGAGGAGTCCTACTCCCACCGGGAGTAGGACTCCCTCCTTTCCTAGTCCAACTAGGAGAGGGGAAGGAAGGGAAGGAGAAGGAGAAGGAAGGAGAGGGAGGAAAAAGAGGAAAGGGGGGCCGGCCCCCTAGTCCAATTCGGTTTGGGCTAGGGGGGCCGCGCGCCCTGCCTCCTCTCTTCCACCACTTCGCCCATGAGGCCCATTGCTTCTTCCTCGTAT